TTAGTGAATTTGTTGTATTTTTTTTTTTAATAATTTTGTTATTACTCTTTCCGTCTTAATTTAAGTGTCGCTTATGTGAGTAGTAATTTTTAAGGAGACATGTGGGACATGCATTGTCTGTCTCAAAAATTACTAAATTGCCCTTTTAAGTTTTGAATATTCAAGTTTGAAATTTTAAGTATAGTTTATGGAAAGTAATAATTTTTAAAGGGACATGTGGAATATGCATAGTCGGTCTAAAAAATTACTAACTTGTCCTTTTAAGTTTTGAATATTCAAGTTTGAAATTTTAAACTTAAATGACATATATGGAAAGATGTGAAATATATTGTTTGAAAAAAGAAAGTGGACTATTATTTTGGTGCAAACAAAAAAATAAAGCATTACACTTATTTTAGGACGAATGGAGTATTTAGTTGTAGGTGAATTTCATATCATACGAAATTTATGAACTTCACGTGAAATTCACTGCAAGAAAATATAACTCGAAATAATTTTTTTTTAAAAAAGAGTTTGAATAAATATAAATCAAATAAGAATCTAAGATGGAATAGAAAAACAGATATTTTTATCAAGTGAACACTTGCTATATATGTGTGTGTGTGTGTGTGTGTGCGAGGATTGTCCAAGGCAAAAATCTTTCTAAAGCAAAACTCTACCCTATCACATGTGTGTTGTTTGAGCGATGTTGGCTAATACGCAACTTTTGTCAACGAATTTAATTTGTCAAGCAGGATGACTTGAACTGTCTAACCTCCTTGTCATTGCCCTTTAATACTCTTTCCGTTTCTCTTTGAATTTTTTCGTTTTGGTTTCCAATACTTAATATAATTATATTTATACTATGTTTGATAAGAAAGAAGCCGTGTACTTTATATTTATATTTATATTGTGTTTAGTTCGAAAAGTTATATTGAACATTCTATTAATTAGATTATTAAATAATAATATAATAATAATTAATGAATTAGACATTTTTTAAAGAAAGAATATTATTATTTTCTCTTTTTGAATTTGGTTAGACGAAAGAAAAAGAGAAAAAAAGTAACACATTTCTTTATTTATTAAGAGAGAAGAGAGAGGGAGATTGCTAACATTAAGTTTATTTAATATATTTTAAGGGCATCATTGTAATTTAATTTTTTTCTGATAGTCTTATTTTTCTTCTCTCGTGTCAATGATTCATCTATGTTCTTTCTTTTCCAACTTCATCTCTCAACCAAACACCCACTCCCCATCCTACCAAACAGATCATTATTATGCTTTGTTTGATAAGAGGGGTGAAAAATTAGAGGGAAGGAAGAGGAGAATGATAGATGGGTCATTTTTAGAGCAAGAATGAAGTCCCTTCTTTTGGATGAAAAGAAAGAAAATAGATACTATTATTAATTTACTAATATATTTTTAAATATATAAATCAAAACATTAAATTGAGGATAACGGCAGATACCTCGATATTTCGATGGGTTAGTGCCTCCGGTGAATTTTAAAGTGTAAGAGTTCGATTATCTGCATCTACTAATCTAATTTCTAACTCTTCTTGGATAACAATGTCTTTCCAATTTAATCGAACTACCTTTATTTTTTTCTTTCTTTTAGATTGAAGCAAAATGGTGAACCAAGAGATATGATGCATCTTTCCTTCCGTTTCCTTCCTGTCTTCCTCTAACAAAACAATGGAGTCTTATTGCACCCCTCTTCTCTTCCTATTATTTTCTCATCCTTTCTTCCTACCACTCAAATTTTGAATATTCTTCCTAAATTGATAAATTTTAAGCTATTGGAGGTAAAAAGTGGATTCCGGGCTCTATGGTTTTGAAGTACTTCCCGAAGTATTCAACAATGTAAGCCTTCTTTTCGAGTACGATCAAGAAGCCAAAATCCCATGGGCACCTCTTCTTGTACGAATTGTCACTGAATCTGTGGATGGATGTTGATGTGCACTGTAACAGTGGAATCGTCATCTGGTAGTGAAGGTTGTGGAAAATTTGACGTTAATGATGGATCAGTGACGAAGATGATGAAGCTTAGAGGTTTCTGAAACCAATTACGGTCGATCCAAGGAGAGGTTTTAGTGACCTGATTGTATTCATGTTTGTTTGCTCTCGGATTTTCTCTAATTTTCCTCACAAAACTCAGTTCTTCACATAATCAACGAAAGAACCCATTCACGCCTCCTCGCGCCGTCCTCCTCAGCCGCAGGACAATCCTCACTCTAAGGCTCCCTCCTTAACCTGTGTGGTAAATTTTGGGAACTTCTGTGGGTCATTGGCTTGTTTTGCCTGGGCCATGGTTATTCTATCAGCCCAATTTTAGGTTATGCTTTATTATGTTGGCCCCTTTTTGGGTTATTGTATTGGGTGGGCTTACCCACCTAATTCACCTGAACCTGGGCGAAAGCTCAAAGTTGAACTCTCTAGAATAATGGAAAGCGACTCAATCACTGGACTACAAAGACATTCGTTTGGAAACTTTTGATGGGTCCGGAGCGATGGTTATTCTATCAGCCCAATTTTGGGTTATACTTTGTTGGCCACTTTTGGGTTAATATATTAGGTGCTTTATTTGCAGTCGCGGTGTAATGGACTCAGGCAAATATCCGTGAGAAGCAACTGAACAGACCGATTTATGGAGGTGTTAACTATATCAGACCTTTGAAAAATGATTACGAACCGAACAATATGCGAAATGGCCGATATGGCGAACCATGATTGGGTGGGCTTACTCACCTCATTTAGCCAAAGCTGGGGAGAAGGTTTGAAGTCGAACTCCCGAACTACGAAAGCAATATGCGTAACGGTCGATATGGCGAACTATGATTGGGTGGGCTTACCCACCTCATTTAGCCAAAGTTAGAGTGAAGGTTTGAAGTCAAACTTTCGGTTCATGTTCATATATACATATATATATATATATATATATATATATATATATGTATATATAGCTTGAATGAAAAATTAACGAAAAATAAATAAAATACCTATAGAACAATACTTGCATCCTTCGGGTGAAGGATGAGGTTCATCCTCTGCGCTGACATGGCCCAATGAGATGATAACAGCTGTCCAATATTAAAAATAATAATAAAATATGGGTATTGCCCGTGTTCGACCCATTTTTCTTTTCCCTCTCTCTCACTCACTCCCAATACCTAGCTAATATATTATCTCTCATATACCGCGTCAAACCCATTTTTACTTTCCTCTTCATCGCCACCACTAGATCTGACTTTCTCTCTCTTTCTCTCTAAAAATGTGAGGAAGAAGCAAGGGCGTAAAGGGCTTGGGCAAGGGAGGTGCCAAGCGTCATCGGAAAGTTCTCAGGGACAACATTTAGGGCATTACGAAGTCGGCGATCCGCCGTATGGCCAAAAGAAGTGGTGTGGTGAGGCTCAGTGGCCATAGATGTGGTTCATGCTTTGAAGAGGCAGGGTAAGACTCTATAGATTCAGTGGTTGATTATCAATTTTTATTTATTTATTTATTATTATTTTTTTCTGGTTACACATTTGGGCAATGTTGTTTTTGTAATAAATATGGATTCGGTGGTTGGTTTTTGCTACAAAGTCGGCGCTCCACTGTCTAGCCAGAAAAGATGTTGTTTTTCTGGCTACAAATTTGGGGGTATGTAGGACTCTTAAAAGTATGTTGTTTTTGTAAATGGTGGTTTTAGAATTTAGCAATATTACCGTGTTTTGAATTGTTGTAATTGTGATTCTGTCATGGGATTGCAAATATCTGGTTTTCAATGAAATTGCCATATTTTTACCTCCAATTGTGGTTTCAGTTCAATTTTTATTAAAATCCCAATCTCTGTTGATTTGATTTTGAGTTAAGCTTGCTTCATTTTATTAAAAGTGGTTGATATGTTTTAATAAACACAAGAGCTTCTTCATAGTGTTAGTAGTTTTGAGTTGAGTGAACCTGTGAGTACATGTGAAGCTCTTGTGCGAAAACTAAAATAAATCAATTTTGTGGAAGTATTTGTAATGAAGCTAATAGTCACTGGAACACAAAGAGAATGAGCTCAGTTCAAAGAGATCTTTGTACTTCATCTGATCTTTTGAACTTCTCTTATGGCACAAAACGAAAACTCAAAGAACATCGGTGAACAGAGAGCACTTCGTTCCTGCATTTCTGTTGTTGATTCAGAATTCCTATCTATAGAATAACTTACGGAAGTAGCTAGCTTTCAACCACTTAATCTGCCTAAGATCTCTTAGAGCAGCATCAGTAGGAATTTGACAAGCAATATAAATCAAATAGCATGAGAGAGACGAAGGGGAAAACCCGACTCACATAAGGTTAATCTTCCTACTCCTTTTCTATTTCTCTTACTGGGAGAAATGGCGACCATTATCAAGAACCAAAAAAAAAAGACCGAGCTAAGGGAGAGAGAAGCCCTATGAGTCACTATCCTCCTAGTATTTCTTCCTCATTTGAACTCCTCTATCTGTGAGAGGGTTCCACTTGATGAAGTAGAGGTGGGTAAAGCTGTTAAGAGGGTGGTCGTAATGCAAATTAGGACTCCCCACCAGTAAATACACCAGTCGAAGTGGACCATTGAAAAAAGGGGCACATGTGGGAACAGAATGTTGGCTGCTAAAAGACTCTTTTTCAACTCACAAGCAAATGGATTCAGAAAATCCATTTGGAGAAACAATATGATACAAAATATAAGATTAATCAGATAATGAAAGCTCTGAGTGATTAAAAACATACAATCCCAAATAGGATACAAAATATTCAATCCATAGCATCCCAAAAATAGGATTAATCAGATAGTGAAAGCTCTGAGTGATTAATCAAAATAGGATACAAAATATTCAATCCATAGCATCCTTGGGCACTCCACCAAACAAGCCTTGGATTGACTAACAAGTTTTTTTAGTTATAAAAACAAAAAGTAACATAATCCCAATGCCGAAAAACTCCACCAGGCCTTAAAAAGTAACAATCCCAGCATTCCCCAAAAGCTCCACCAAACAGGCCTCAGATTGACTAACAAGGAGGAAAATTTTCAAACGGGTTGTCTTCTTGTGCAATTTGTGAGAGGTTGCCTTCTTGTGCAGTTTGTGAGAGGTTGCCATAATGTGACTCCTACAAGATTTGAAAAACTAAAATTATGAGAAAGTTAAAATAAATAAATCTACATCATTAATTTGTAACATTATCAATTATTTTGTTAGGATAATATAATTACCTGAAGTAATCGTATGTAAAACATATTGGGTTGCCGATTTGTGATTGCCTTTTCATTATCGTAGTTCATCATTGAATGGGATGCGGAAGGGGTCTCTACTCTAAGGCCAATTTGAGATTCCTGTCAAATAATTACAAAATCGTAAAATAAAACATAAGCCAAGGTAAAGAAATATAATACAAAAAGAAATGAATTACCTGGGTAAAAATATCATGTCTAGCTTATTGCTCCTGTGAGTTCCAACTACTAAAAATAAGCTCCTATAATATCCATTGAAAAAAAAAAAAAGTTAAGTACAACACTGATCACACTTTAATTTATTTATAAAGTTTTAAATTATTTATAAAGTTTCATATAATACCTCAGGGGTCTTTTGTTGTTTTGTTGAATATTTGGAATGTGAGTTTTTTCTTCGCTTTTCAAGTGCACCTTTTAATTGATTACGTGGACGCCCGATTATGGCTTTTTTTTAACCCATATTGGCACACAATTCTTTGGTGGAGCTATCGTATCAACTTCCTCATTTCGACCAATTGAACTTTCCCCACCACTAACATTATTTGAGTAAAGTTGTTTCTTCAATTCCTCCAAATCATTATGCAACACAAGAGCACGATCATTTGCATGTACATATAACTTCTCATGTTCCAATGCTAAAGATGAAATCTCATAAAAATTTCGACACAAATGACTATAACGCTTTCCCAAAGACACTTTAGGATTGTCATTGGCTTCAATTCCATGATAATTGGTGAAAGTCCTTGCCTTTACATCTCTTGTCCATCTTTTCATGATATATTGGGGCGGAATCTTTTTTATATTTTTCTTATCCAACACTTTCAAAGTATGAATACATAAAATCCCAATAAAAGTGAACTTCATACAACTACACATGACTGTTTCTATTGAAGCTTCGAAATTGACCACATGCCCTTGAGATTTTCCAACATAAGATACTTTGTATTCAACTTTTGTCCTATCCTTTGCCACTTTATAAACACAGTAATCGCTGAACCTCATGTATTCTTTTTGAAACAATTCAAACACTTTCGGGGTATAGATTTTTACACTATGACGTAACATCTCCACACTAGTTAATAACACGGGCTTACTTCGCATCATGTTAAAATCTGCACATAGTTTTTCATACCGCCGATCATTCAAAACACTCTCATAATGCTCAAAGAAACGCAAAAGATTATGACTCGGCTTCAAGTAATTCTTTAACGCATTGTTCTTACTTTCACTATGTTTGGTAGATTTCATGTCCGCGGTGAAAGTATGTCGTCCATAAACCATTCCCTATTTTTTTTCTTATTTCAAATAACTCTTTTAACCATTTATTCTTTTCGAGATTGTATTTTTCCAGCATATTATTCCATGCTAATAGCCACTCATTTTCATCTTCATAATCGTATACACAATTGCTAAGGTCATAAGCAAAGTGGTTTGATCTATTAAATACATGACTCAAATTCTTGGTTGCATTTTGATAAATATGCCAAACACATAATCGATGTTGAGATTCAAAAAAGACAAGCAATATTGCTTTTGCCATTGCAGAAGATTGATCTGTCAGAATTGTCTTAGGTTGCTTTCCGGACATTACACCAAGGAAAGTCTGAAACAACCACTTAAATGATTCAATGGTTTCATCGTAAAGTAAGGTTGCACCAAACACTATTATTTGTTTATGTTGATTCACCCCAATAAAATGGTGCAAAAAGTCAACCATATTCATTTGTTCGATAAGTACTATCGAAGCACACAACATCTCCGAATAGGCCATAATCATTAATTGAGCGTGCATCGGCCCAAAAAATATTAGTGATCATATCATCCTCATCCACTTGCATTGAACAAAAATATGATGAATCCTTCAGCTGTATTTTTTCAAAATATTCTAAAATTGCTCCTGCATCTCCTCTTACCATTGCCATCTTTCGCTTTCTATGTATGTAATTTTGGTAATCCTTATCTAGAAAACCAAGATGTTCCATGCCGCCAACTTCTCTACTCATCAACTCCATAGTTCATTTTAGTGGCAATCTCGACTTCTTTGCATCTTCAGCATGTTCTTTTTGAGCCTTTGAAATATTTCGATTAACTCTCATCATATGTTTAATTGGAGTTCTAATTAAGTCATGATTATGGATTTTGTTCAACGATACAACTTTGAATTTGCCATTGTTTTGAAGTCTACATTTCATATGAGCCAAACAACCAACTCTTGTAATAGGTTGATAGTGCAAAGGAGTTTTGGTTTCTTTCCTTTTACCTTCTTTTGAACAACAAAAGGTAACCCCGGTGATGAGCCCCGCTATATTTTTTCTCTGATGATTTCTCCTTACATCGAAACCAAGTTTGCGACCATAGCTGAGATACAATTTATATGCTTCATCACATGAACTTAACTCCATTCCAAGTTCTGGTTCTTCTCTTTCTTCTTGATTTTCTTTTTATTTATAGGAAAATTCATTAGTAGGAAAAGAATAATCATTATCAATTTCACAACTATTTGATGGTTCACTACTTAAGCTTACATAATCTATCTCTTCCATAAATCTGCATATAAATGATTGTGACTATTAAAAGTTGCCAGTTAAATGTAAGGAAATCTTTTAATCTAAGATAGAACATTTTATATACAACACTTTTGTATCAGAGATAGAACAGCCATAAACATTATATATATATATATATATATATATATATATATATATATATATATATTTATTACATTTGCACCAAATTAAGTCTATCATGAAATCAGCTCCACCTTCATACATAGTTCTTAAATATTTGATGTGGACTCATTCATTACATTGTTTTCCTTATTTATAGCACCAGATAGAAACGAAAATATGAAATCTGTCATTTTCTTTTATCTTGTTCAAGAAAACCCAAAAAAAAAAAACACATTTAAATAAGCTAAGTTTAGCTGAATTTATCCATTTGTGATCAATGGGGGCGCAATTTAGGTATTGAGAAAAAGAGAGAGAAGAGAGTAAGAAACGGGTTTAACCCTTTCTGCCCTTGCCTCTTCCTGACATTTTTAGAGAAAGAGAGTCAAATCTAGTGGCTGCGATGGAGAGGAAAATGAAAATGGGTTTGAGGCGGTGTATAGATATTGAGAGAGAAGATATTAGGTATTGAGAGTGATGAGAGAGAAAAGAGAAATGAGTTGAACCCGGGCAATACCTATGTTTTATTATTATTTTTAATATTGGACAACTGTCATTATCTCATTGGGCCACGTCAGTGCGGAGGATGAACCTCATCCTCCGCCTAAATGATGTAAGTATTGTTCATACCTATATACTTCCAATCAACATTAACATGATATAATCGGTCAATTATGTCAATAAATTACTTTCGCAATGCTTTTGAAGAGACTTAAAAAAGTATATATATATTTTATTATTATTATTTTTTATTATAGAAGGAGATGAGACAATATTTGGACTAATGGGCCCAATGATGATAAATATTATAATCGTGACCTATCGAGAGTACAACTAGTACTTTGCTCCTTGCGTTAATCAATCACATTCCAGACAACGTATATGGTGCCATGACCATACGAACTCTTTTTAGTGGGCCCGCAAAAGCCATAAAGTCTAGTCGCAGTCTCTTTGCAAATTTGAGTGTTTTTGGGAGCCCACTTGTTTTAATAGTTATCGGCTTCTGGTCCAGCCCAGCCCACGCTGTCCCTGTGGACTGTTGTAAGGCTGGCACACACCCATCATTGGGTGTCGCATAGCTGCCATAAAAGCTAGCTTTTGTCTACCGACTGTTTGACTTTTGCAACTGTCCCCTTACTAAATTTCTTGCCTATAAGGCGATAACACTATGATATATTTACTATGATATATTTATGAAATTACTAGAAAGGCCTTAATTTTTAACTATAAAAAATTTAAAGATGGTAATTTTTTTGAAATGTCAGAAGGGTGTAATAGTTATTTTTGCTAAATAAGTTCAAATATTATCATTTTTTTGTAGGCGATAACACTACAAGCAGTCACAATGTTGACAGGTGTAGCACAATTCTTTTAAAAGTATAACAAAAAATTTATCATTTTTTATAGTTTTAATTAAAGTGAATCCTATATTGGGAATTATTGGGATGACTTTACTTAGGCGGCTTCATTCACAATACAATGACGATAGATGAGTTACTTGATAATTTATTTTTCCTTTTATAATCATGCTTTATCTACGTGTCCTGACTAACCCAATTCAAATATCATCACTGCCGTACCAAAACAGATGATCTAAAAACTCATGGTGCAATGTGGTCATACTACAATTTTAACTTATTTTGTACTACAAGTCTCATCGACTTTCTTATAGAGGTAATAATACGAGAAAATAGCACATCATTCAATCGACTTGCCATCATCATCATCATCATCATTATTATTATTATTGTATTTTTTTTTTTTTTTTTTTGGCATTAGTCATATATGCCTCCACTCAAATTTGAATTTTTGACCTTTATTTAAAAAATAAAAATCTAATATCACTAAATTACTGACTTGTCTCATATAGACTTGCCAATTATTTTTTTTGTAATTATCCTTATCACTATCTTCTTTTTATATTTGCTTACTTTTTTTTTTTTAGGGTTAATTTCATCTACACCACTTGACATTTGTCTATGTTCCATTTACACTTCATTTACGTTTTAATATTCCACCTACCTCCCTTAAAGTTTTGGTTCATGTAACAAATTACCCTTGTTGTTAAGAAACTGACTGTGTTAGCATGGACAAATTGGTACAAGGTTAATTTTGCCCTTCACAATGGTTGAAATGACATTTTTAACTTCATTGACCATTACAGAGTTACAAAACTACCCTTATATTTTTTTCTTCTTCTTTTTATATTCAAAAGCACTTCTATCATGTTGCTGAGATGTGGGCCGTCGACAATATCTCCCGTTTGTAGTCTCGGGTGAATTCCAAAAGGCCCTGTCCAGTGAGTTCAGGTGCCAGCCCAAAAAAAAAAAAAAAAAAAAAAAAAAAAAAAAAAGCACATCAACCGATGCATAGCTTGAGAGAACCCCCCAAAAAAAGCACTGTTCACAGCTCTAAAGAGGCGGAAACACCCAACCGGAGAAGCTCTATCAACGTGAAAACGTTTAGTCTCATCACTATCAACGCCGGCAATGGAAAGTTTTAAAGATCAAACAAGTCCAACCAAAGATTAAGACAAGTACAAAGCTACAGTGATCCATCGGGTGAGTGTAGGTACTGAGTTTCAGTGACGGCGACCATGGCTGAGCTTTGACTGAATCGTGCTTCAGGAATACAAATATAGAGATCGTATACGGAGCTTCATCTCAAAAATCGATCGACAGCTTAAGGAGATCGTCAAAACACAGAGGAGTGAACCATGAAAGCCTTTTTTTTGGAATGATGAACCATGAAAGCTTGAGCATTGAAATCAGATATAGAAAATCGAAGGTCTGGTTAAAATTAGAAGGTTTGAAGGTCATTCTCAACTGAATTCCATATGTTATTGTCAATTGGAACTCAAAAATCCTCGAACCCGCAATCGCCAAAACTATAAATTCTTACTAGGGTGTTAGTCAATGATCCCCCAATCTCCATGCTGCAAGCGCAATACTTAGAACAAACCATTAGCGGCTTATATATATATATATATTAATTAATTGCACATACCAGTGTAATTACAAAATAATAATAATAATAATAATAATAATTAAAAATAAAACAATTTCATTCCAGAGAAGGTGGGCGAGTATTGGCCTATTGGGTATATATATATATATGTTATGTATATGTAACGTATGTTATGTTGAAATACAAAATATATATATATATATATGTAAGTGAATAAGAACAACTAGTCCTTGTATATTGCTGAGCACATTAACAAATGGGTCTTCAAATATCCATTGATGGTCTTCAATATATATATATATATATATATATTAGCCATCAAGGACATGAAGATCTGGTGGTGTTTATAGGGGTGGAGATGGTTGTGCTGGACCGCCTGGGGTTGTTGGGTGGCGATGGTATGAAATTAAAAACACTATTTTATTGAATAACCTCTCACCAGTTTTGAATTAAAAACACTATGAAATTACCGAGTCACGGACTCACGGCTTGCTGGTGATACATACATTCATACATATATATATATAAGGGTCAGGGTGTATGTTGTTTCAGTATTTGGAGGAAGAATGAAGGGTCATGAAACGAGATACTTATACACACAGAATAGGGGAATATATATATATATATATATTCCTCTATTCTGTGTGT